TAACAGTCAAGCACCAGCGGTACAAGGCCAACGCCACACAACATTGGTTTTCCCCTTTAAAAGAATATTCATATTTGAGTTAATTTTTGCTGTTGTTCATCATGCTAAGATCAGATGACCGCGCTTATAATCTACGGCATACTGGTAATTGATGTAGGCTACCGAAGCAATTCGATTGAGTGCTGCAGCCTGCGGTGGATGAGCTGCCGAGGATCAATGCACGCTTAGCAGCGCTTTTTTCGAATCTCTTCCAGCACTTAACGACTGCTTGCTAATTAATCGTACCATTCCTTATTGAGGACACTGGTGGACTGGGCAAACTATCTCAAGTATGTTTGTAGAATTTGTTCAAAGCTACCTGCCTGTCACTGATGAGAGCTTATTGTGTCTGCGCCACTTCAGCCTAAAGACATCTCTTAGCTGCCTTCCTTCTGTGTCTCATGAGTTTCTGCTATTCTGCATCACACTACTCACCTCCATTGCGCTTCCCCGAAGGTCATCTGCTCTATCTCGGTGACCTCCCCTCTTCTGAAGACAATCGTGGTGGTTAATCGTACTATGACTGCATTGGCAATTACTGCAACTTGCAAGTAATAGACTTACGGCCATGCCGCAGGATGATGCACATGTGGATGTGGCTGAGCGTTGTGGGGGAGATTTCGGTCCGTGAGGTGTTGCTCCGGTCGCGTCCTGCACAATTACTAGTCATAAAGATCTTGCATGTCCTCCTGCTTTGAAACAGCATGGGCATTGTAGCATAAAATTTGGAAACTGAGTGTGGGGAGTGGTGGATTATCCCCAGTGAAAATCGGTCCTAGCCATATCTACGGCAAACGACGATGATATAAAATATATGCCAGGAATATTGTAATAACTACGCAAATCGATAAATGTAAACAATATGTCAACAACGCTCGATCAATTATCAAATGGGTTTCAAATACGCATTGGCAATGCGCTCATCATGATTGCGCTCAGCGCTGAGTAAATGTTGAACATGTTGAAATTCTTTCAACTTTGACTTGACTTTGCTCAATATTTGAACGTTTGAACATTCTTGCGCATCAGCTGCGCACGCACCATCACTTCACGCGATGACGTCGATATGCAGTGGACCAATATTGGGACATTCCATCCCTACTCGCTTCACCTCAGCTTTCTTCTTCCCCTCCATCATCTCGTCCTCCTCTCAGCAAAACCTTGCCGTTGACCTCAACCATCCTGGCATCATCTGACGCGTGACTTTCTCGCTTGGCCACTAACAAGATAAGTACTAGGCCTTTTCACGGCCCAATCCATTTACTGATCCCACCCACTCGACAGTCGTCCGTTCTTGTGACAAGTAAGTGCTATTTACGGTGCATATATGCACACATTTTGAACATTGTGAGTTATCTGGCATTGTCAGGTTCATTCACTGACTGTTTTACTACATCATCGCTAGCTCAATACCATTGTCCCGATGACCGACACGTCCAGCGGCTTCAACAGATACATCGTTACAAGACATCTGACAGTCAATTGGTGAGTTCCATTAAAAGCTACCCAATGTACTTCAATTGATATTTATTGCTGTAGAAACACGAGAACGAGGCAGCTGCCATCACACGGTCAGTACTGTCTGCTTGCCTGGCAAGTATATCTAACAATGATCTGTTTCGGTCAAGGACTCCCATGTGCCAGAAGCTGGCGGGCTACGTCATCCTGACGCACGGGTGGGGGTGCCACTGCTATTGTATATAGAGTACACTCTTTATTGCATTTGTAATTTTTTCGTAATACAATTGTTTTTGGTCGATTTGCGTCGATGAGCAAATATGCATAAGTCAATTGGGAGCTACGGGAATATACTAGAATCTACGGTACACAAACACAATCGATGATACAATATCTCGCTCGATGCGAGTCGCTAAAAATCGACTATAAGTCTCATCTTTCTCCGGAAATCGACGCGAATATTGTCGCAATATTTCCCTCGTTTTCCGGAGATATGGCTAGGACCGTTTCTCACTGGGGATTATCGTCGGATGTACATGCACGCATAACGCAGTTCATGGCGAATCTAGGGGGAGAACTTAGCAGTCTCACTCGGGTTTCTGGCATCTATATCGTATTAGTATATAGCTATATAGTAGTACAAGCAGTAGTGTGCAATATGAATGAATTGCCCTATCACGCCGTAGTCACTAGCCACGAGAAACGGTTCACAGTGGGTGTTAATTGACGCGCTCGAACATATCTCTGAGGCCTGAGCGATAAATGTTTACTACTGTGAGACCTAGTATTGTGTCAATCGAACCTTCTTACATATGTAAAAGAGCATTCGAACTTCGGAAAATAAGCCGGTGCACGGTAGTATCTCTTCCAGCAGATAATGTTTATGGCGACAAGGAGACTGGTACATCTTGATTGCACTTGCTAGGACAATGATACACATCTTACAAAGGCTATACTTCTGATAATGAATAAGCTATCGATACACACCATACAAGTTAAAACAGCACACGACTCTAAAATCTGCGAAAGTGGTTCATAAGCTGTGAATGCCCCCAGAAGGCGTCAAACACTACGTGAGATCCGCAACGCAAAGATAAGAACACCCGACGAGAAAATCTAACCCCAGACACGCATAGCCGTATGCCTAAACGCCGCATCGCTGAGCTTGAGAGGCCGTAAGCCCAAGCTGTGGGCTGGGCCCGCGCGTTTCGCAGTTCCATATGTGCACATATCTTGGCGCGAAACGATACTTGTTCCGAGCCCAAACATAGCCAAGAATTTGACACCCGCTTATGAAGATGTCCCCATTCCCTGCTACTATTTATCGCCTAGCTGGTCCTTCATCGCTAACCAGCCAAAGGCTCCAGAGATACCCAGAGCAAGGCAAACATATGGCCGAGATGAAGACTAAGAGGGAGTATGTATGAGTGTGTGACAATTTCAAATAGAATCTGAAGTACCTGTGAGGACGATGTTGAATATTTGTAACGGGCTTTTCGCGAAGGTCCATCAAAGATTTCATATACAGGTTCTGAGGTTGATATGAAAGGGGATGAAGGTGTGTGTGCCTGTCTGTTATGCGATAGAGATGGGTATTGCCGTATTTTGTGACGATTTTCAAGTGCTCGCGGTAATAAATATGCTGGACGAGCAGGGCCATCGAATAGGATGGGGGGAGGTAGTGAGGAAAAATGTTGAGCTCGAGTAAAGTTGCTAGCGGCATTGCTTGATTTTTCATCGTTGCGTTTGAGAGGAGCGATACGAGTTTTCGTGACCGTTCGTCTAACAAGCGCGGAAGATTCTCCCAGGCGCACCGGAGCGTCAAAGATGTCAAAGATTGGTGGAATAGTGAGTGCCTCGTATCCTTGCGTAGTTATCGCAACTGACATAGATGAGGACAGACGCGTAGGTAAGGATTGAGTGACTCTTCCATATGATGCACTTTGTAGTGCAGTGGCAAATGGGCGCCGCAGCGAAGACATGGCTGGATGATGAGTGAGATGCTAAGTATCATAACTTGTGGAACCTGCCTTTATATGCAGTGTATGATGCATGGAATGACCGGTCCTGAGATCATCTTGATCTGCAAATACAGGAGAAAAGTCAAGAGAATAGCCTCTGAGAATAGTGAAGTCTATTAGAAAAGTACTTGTGGCGGAATTGAAGCGGCTATAGTGAAATGTGACCCGCTCATCTGTTCAATCGTAATACTGCGCTGACCTCGGTAGAAAGTCTAGAAACTGCGATTTCTGATGGTGCCAAGCACTCTATGATTGAAGTACCGGGCCACTCTACTCTTCTTGGAACAAACGGTAATAGAATGATGCCGGCAGCATATCTAGACGGTCAGCGGTTTGCCTATGCCGGCTTCTTTCGTTGAAGGCGAAAACAACTTTGTTACTTAGCTGCCAAGATGGAAAGGTCCGAATACCGGACAACCGCTTAATCATCGTTAGTAGTTAAGTCATGATTCATCACCAATGGGGAGCTGTGGAAAAGATTTGCGTCAAGAGAAAGATGGACGATTGCCGCATAAACGCCGCCGCTATTAACCATAGTACCCAATTGCAGATCCCCCTACATACTAAATGGAAGCTCTCGATGTGCCAGTTGCTGGAATTGTGGTCACATTATCCAAGGTGGCGAAGAGATGAGGAGATTATCGAAATAAATGGTTTCCCATGTTGAGGACACATTTCTGGAAATCTGATATACTGTTAGCACTAGTGACATGAAAGACGTTGGACGAATACACAGAGGTTGCCAAGGAGGATGGGTATACATCGTCACCATTACAACTTGCTATCGGGCGCACCATGACATTTTGACAGATACGTCCATTTGGCTGTCGAGGCCAAGTGTATTTTCCCCACAAGCTCAGATTACAGCTTGGAAACTGAGATACGTATTCTAGCCGCATCAATCGCATGTGTAATCTGAGTCCTCTCCGAGATGCGGCCTAAAGGCTGTATCGGATCGAATCGTGCAGCTTCCATGCTGCAAAGCATCTCGCCAAGCTTGGTACGTTGATGGTGCTGTGCAAAGAAACGATGTATCCTCGTTGGGTTCTCCGACGAAACGTTGTAGATGCATGTTCTCACCCGCTTTAGGACTCGGAATTAAAGCTCAGCGGCATCCTCAATTTGCCCTCAATATTAACGGTCATGCTCGGAATAACTTGTGCTCGACCTACGGTGTCAAACGGAATATAAAACTTCATTCAAGAACACTCATTCAATATTTGTCTGTAAGTTTAAGGTATATACATCCAGGCATCTACACGACGCAGGAATTACTGTCCACCCCAAGTTTGCCTCCAGTCAAGAACATTGACGATTTTCGACTCATATGCAGCTGTCACTCTGGTGAGCAGAAAGCTCGTCAAGTGGCAGCTGTCTGACTCCAGGTGATATCCGGTGCCTTTGCTTTCCATTTCAGACCTGTACATGCAATTAAAAGCCTCGTTGAGTCCATGTGTTTGTCTTCATATCCATGAGCCGGATCGATAGGGCTGGATAACACGAGGACGATTCCAGTTTCTAGAAAAGCATTTCCTTCAGCCCAACTTGCTGATCTATATCCACTGGCCCCTCGACGTTACATACGATGACCGTCGTTCCATCCCCACCTCCGAGCCCAATTTCAGGTGGTCCGCTACCTCAGTATGGGTATGGCTCTGATCATACCTTTGATCGCCTTATCCAGGACAACCCCTTCTTATTTCGCGTATATACTCCGAAGCAACGCTCCCCATTCTTTGATGCTACTGAGCCCTACTTTGTAGGCCAGAAGTACAACGAGCAATATAGAGAGGCCGCAGAGCGGCTTCGACAGCCGTTTACAGGCAAGTCAGTAGCTTCAACGAGCAGTTATGCAGATGTTGCCCAGCATATGGACTGGACGCAGAGACACATGTCCCCCTACATCTCGACTACGTTCAGCTTTGCCTGGGCTATTTGGGAGGCTACCCGCAGGTACCGGGTTGGTCTTAAACACAACATTGAAATCGCCATAATCGATTCACGTCAGCTCGCTGGTCGAGCTGCGACTGCTCTAGAGCTACTAAGAAAGGGCTCACCCAATGAGTCAGTGTTTTTTGATCGGACTCTTGGCTGCTCAGATAAGCTGATTTTGTGACGTAGAAGGCATCTGGACTACTGGAAGTGGTACAGATTCGCATTGGAGTCGCAAGACGTCCTTGTTCATGGATCTATCCCCAGTTCGGCTGTTCTAGCCTCAGTCCCCCTTCTGAGCATCATCGATAAACTCCCGTCATACTTCTTCCGCCAAGATACCATTGTCGATAAGCGGTCGTCTTCATCGCAGTTAGATATCCTATCATGGGATACCATGGATCGCAAGCCTAGTTTCCGCCAGTTCTGCCAAGATATGTCAGATCAGTTCTTGCGCCTTCCCACTGAGCATCGTCTTCGCGATGCAACCGGAAGCTCCGTTCGCTTGGCAATGTCATTCCTGCGTCCCTGGTTCCATAGTGTTGTCGTCGACGATTTCACTGAAGCGACTGAGACAGTCTGCAGCCTTGCCTTCATAATCGCACAATGGCCAGCTCAGTGGTGGTCACGAGAACACCTCGAGATACGGGATGTCATTCGCTCCCTTGTCCAATCTGTCGGCGAGGAAGTCCGAGAGAAGCAGAAGGGGGTGGCGGCAGAAGAAGTTCGGAGATTGCAAGGGATGTTCTCCAACCTTGAACGTGTTGTAGAGGACTACGAAGAGACCGAAGTTGGCTCATCAGTCGGTTCCATGGACGACATGGTAGAAGCCAAGGTCGAAGGATCCGTTGTTATGCCCCCCTCCCCCCCAGCGTCTATCGTCGAATGGTCGGTGGACGAAGATACTCTTATCTTAGCGCTCCCAACAGCTACCGCCCCACCAGCTGCATCTTTTTCGCAGGCTGCTTTGGGTGATGTAGCCACAGCCGATTCTGAGAGTCCAGATAGCAATCGGCCGAAGACACCCACCTTTATCTTTGCCCCCACGATTGTTGTTCACCAACAACAACGGTCCGCCATAGAGCAGACTCGACCTACACCAGAATCGGAATCTCCTCATGAAGAACCTCAGCGACACCCAAAGCGCCGACCACATTCGCTGGCCGAAACCGCAACCTGTATCGTCACAGGGCTGCTTGTTGGCGCTTTCATAACTCTCTGTATAGTCAACTCTCAAAAACGTACCCTCATCTACGTTACGTAAAGCCCTAAGGCAAAGGACGAGATAGGAATAGTGCAATGGAGAAGTGTTGTAAGATGACTCGTGAAGTAAAAGAAGATTGTACCGTTACAGTATAACCTATTGATTATCTATGTATGCGCAGTAATGTGATTTCTATCAGAAACCAAAGCTTCCTGATATAATCGACAAACTCTATCTGTTCTTTCAGATGGACGTGCATGTTTGCCAAGGTTCTCGTTATAGCCCAACCCATGTTCTGTATTTTGCCACGTCTCCTACATGACGTTCTACAACAGCCTGCACTTCGTCTCCCCATACAGCTCCCGGGGTTTTTCTTGGATGCATTTCCTCGGTCCGCGGTGTCAAACACTCTCTGACGTGCTTCTCTGCTTCCGTAGATTCAAAGACCACACAGTTCTCTAGAGTAAGTGGCTTGGCTGGATCCCACCGCAGAAGTGTTGGGTGTGCAGGAACAGCATGAGGAGGCACGACAGAACGACCAAGATGCAGGTCCTCGAATATCAGCGCAACATCATCTTCGTCGATAGGCAGTTTACTGCAAAAAGTGTAAGGCGGATCAAAAGATGCGACTTGTGGACTCACTTGATCGGCTCCCCAGTGAACTTCGATTCACGATGCAAAAGATCACGAAGGAGACGCTCATAAAGCTTCTTGCGATTCTTTATGGGCAAAGGGTTCAAAATCGGTTTTCCGGCCATCTCACAGAGGATGTAGGTCGCGATGTGCAGCCCGAAAAGAGATGGCAAGGAGCCTGACCCGCAGAAGAACAGTAAGATACAAGAACGCCAGTTTGCAAAGAATCAAGACATACCGAGGACTGGTAATATTCGCACCCTGAAATCATCGAACACTCCAAGTTCTTTGACAGCACCTTTCTGGAATTCTTCCTCGGGAAGGGGGAGTAGCTTCACATCCCCGGGCACTTCTGTGGAATAAACGACGGGAATCCCCGAGGATACACCCTGCAGCCGCAACCTGCGTCGAACAGAGCGTGCGAGAGGGTCGTACATGGTGTACGAGATGTCACTGATCTGAATTCTTGTAGGATCTGTCTTTGCACTAGCTCCCATAGACGAGAACACCTACAATAGCATGAGTTGGATACGATTAGATATCAGTCAGTAACTAGGGCGAACTTTGATATGGTGCTCATGGCAATACTTCAGCAAATCGACTTTTGTGGTGATGTTGTCTATTGCATCTTTTCATAACAAACTGAATTGAAGACGAAACGAGATCGAGGAGCGCATTGACATACCGATGACCCAGTCTGCTCCCTCTAGCAACCGTCCTCCGTCCTCCTTCCTCCAGACCTCAAGGCGGCTGTCTACCTCCACACACCTACTGATCTGCTTGAGAGTCCGCTCAATACATCCCACCTTCGGCGTTCCTACATCCGCAAGCACAGCCGTGGCATGTCTGTTCAACGAGGAAAGCGTCACATAGTCGAAGTCCACCAATCGGATCTTTGACACGCCTCTGCACATAATTAGTGAGTTACAATAACACGGATAGTAATGGTAATAAGCACGTACGACCTCACCAACATGACTGCCACCCAGCTGCCAACGCCACCGCAGCCGACGACAACGACAGATTTTTCCCGAATGCGTGCCATGCCCTCATCTCCGAAAAACGCATAGCACCGCGCGAGCTGCTCTCTGATCAGCTCTTCGTTATGTCCATTAGCTCCAATGCGGATAATTTGTTCATCCAATAATCCATCGTCCTTTGGTCTTAAGTGCTGTTTGGAACCTTCATTCTGGTCTGCTATTGACCTAAGGATGTCTCGATCGAGGCCACGTCTCCGTTCACGTCGACTGTAGGCATTATATGCAGTAAACAGACCTGATGTCAGTAAAGATGCAGATACAGCTGCCAGAATCAGCTGTGTTCTGTGTGATTGTGCAGAAAAAACATTCATGAATGAGAGATCGTGAAAAGTTCCAGGGTCGAGTGCAAAAGTAGTCTACCAGGTCATGTGCATGAGCAGATCACCAGAAAAATTGCTACTTCATTATGCATCATCATGATGTTTCAATATTTCAATAGTAATGTTAGCAACGTTCGTGTCCACTGTCCTTGTGCGATATTCCCGCTGCATACGTGTACGTACGTGGTGTAGAACCGGTGGAACATCACATTCGAACTCACATCCGGATTCAATCGTCGGTGACCAAGCAAGAGACTTGAACCTGAATATATAACTACACCAAATTGATATCTCGTCAATGAATCAATGGGAAGGATATGTCTTAGTCTACTACTATCAGTGCATGTGCTAGCTCAAAAGCACGAACTCGTGGCACACATATATAGTAGATTGCCAACGGATCTTTCTCCATAGGGTGGATCTTAGGTGGCGGTCTGCTGGCATTGCAGACGTTATCTGTTCGAAATGCAATTTCAGGTGCACTACATTGTAATGAAGGTCAATACTCGGCATATGAAAGCAAGTCGTCTTCCCACTATCACCTTCAGATTTACTCAATCTCATACCACATCCTCACAAAGAATGCGTCTCTCCTTTGTCCTCGCAACTGCAATTGCTTTGACAGCAGCAATATCTGTCAACGGGGATGAAGACTATCCTCATTGTCCTTGGTTTTGCTTGTTTGATGCCGACTGCTCGGGCTGCGCATATGCAAAAAGTTGCGTGAGTATGAGAAGTTCGTGTCCTGGATCTATTCACATGACTCGCCGGCATTGTAGATCATCTATACGTGCTGCGAATAGTGTGGCAGTGGTTCGTGTTTCTGCTCTCACATCCGTGCATAGCACGCTGCGTGAAACCTCGATCGGTTGCCCGACAGTTGTGGGTGCACAAGGACTATGGTAGCGGCGAAGGTGGCGTAGTTTGGGGTGGCCGGGTAGTCAGTTATTTAGAAAGGAAGCTCGAGAAACAATGTGGTATCAGAGCCATAGCTAGCATATTGTACAGAGCCGGTTCTCTATGAGCTTGCTTGGCGAACTATGATTGTGAAGGGATATGATTGCTTACCATAAATAAATATGACTGCAACTTGAATAGAGCAGAGAACGACACCGGTTTTATACCTCTCGACAGGCGGGGAAACGATAGCCCAAGGACGACTGTGATCGTGCATTGAAGCCATCGATTTGACATTATCCCCCGACAACACGTCGGGAAAAGGCAAGCATCTGTGGACACATTCCTATAGGATATGCACCTGTGGAATTCACTGCTTTGTAGCGCCACGTGTGCATCAGTCCACAAGAACACAGATATCGTAGAGAAACGGCAGACACGGAGGTGCGTCATGGTAGAATCACAAAGATCTGAAAGTTTTGATGCGTAGGGTCAGTCGCATTTTTATTGTAAACGTGCAAAGACGCTTACCTTGTGTGTCCACTGCGTCGCGAACCAGCGTAGTCCTTACTTTTGATGCAGTAATTTGAAGGGGTGATATAATGGAACCATCCGAAACATCATACCGCAATACTTGTGAAACAGAGGCCATGGTTTCGACCTAGCGCTTACATGGAGGTTCCACGAGCTAACTGGTGATGGGAAAGAGGAGATACATCCCGTAATAGTTCCATATAACGCAAGATGAAGGAATCATTATATGTGCTAGATGGTCCGTGAACAGTTATACTGTGAGGAAAATCATGATACATTACATATCGGTTTGAGATAGCCATCAACGATACACGCTTACGATAAATTTTCAGGGCTGCACGAATCACGCGTGGGTTGTATTTATATCAGAATTCGCTGTAGCCCTCAGCCGTGCCAGACCAGTGCATGAGAGCAGAGTTAAGACGAGGGTACTAAGTGTTGTTTTGGTCTGTTGTGCAAAGGCTTTGAGGACTTTACTTGTTCGGAAGCTTTCCACTTTGCAAAACTTGGCCGCTGCTGCCTATGCGATATCCCTTCTTCATCCCAGCCTGGTGCACTGGCGAGGAGTGCCTGGAACAAGGACCTTTCAAGAATTCGTCGGTCCGAAGTTGTAATCTTCTATCAGACGGATTGGTCATTATGTCTCGACGATCGCTCTCCTAACCACAAAAAGTCCCCTGCAATGATGAAGGAGTTGGAGGATGCGACAGAGATAGATGCATGGGCCCTGGTGACCTTTCGTCCAGGTATGAACGGCGCCCGAGAGAAACTACAACGGGCATCGAAGCGCGTCACCACTGTGCAAGAAGATGTTGCGTACTCATTATTTGGCATCTTCGGCATCACTCTATCTATCATCTGTAGCGAGAGGAAGTAGAGCGCGCTCGGGTGGCCACTGCAGGAGATCGTGGCCCGGTCAGGTGACATCACTGTCCTCGACTGGATCGGACAACCTTCCGAGTTTAATAGCTGTCTTCCAGCCCATATCGCCTCTTATAGCACTACTCCACGTACCCTTTCATCTTTGTCCGAAGATCATATCCACGCACAAGTCTTTTCGCTGCGACAATCCATGCCTGCAGATCTAGCATTGAAGTTTTATGACCAGTTTGAATAGCTGAGCTCCTCGCTTCGCAAACTCCAGACTTCATCTGCCTTGTATTTCATTCCATGTCACGGAAATCAGACGGAGGCGCGGTCTGGCCAAGGAGACTCTCATGACATATGGAATAAAGGCGGGCCCCATGGCCTGCTGATCACCACTGAAGAGACCCTAGTTCAGTTCTCGCGGGCAAAGCCCATTCGGCAGACATTCTTACTTGTCCGTCCATGGGATCGGTATCTCCTCGGGGTACCTGACTTGGCAGATGACACGAAGAGCACGGAAGGTCGGACAGAGCCTGGGTCCCTGAAGGATGAGTTTGACGAGTCACCCGGCGGTTCACCTGTTGAAGAGGAGCCAAGCTCACTGGCGTTGCAGTTGCTGGTTCACCTGAGACAGCCTTTCGACGCATTTTTGCTAGCGCAGCAGGGTGTATGCTCCAAGTCAATAATATTACTTTTAAATACAAATCTCATCTATCCACCGATGGGCCCAGCCCACCCTTGCGCCTCAACCAACACTCGCCTGATGAAGAGAATCACTTCCGAACTTCCTACGCTAGTCGAACCAGAGCTTAGTGGACGACAAGAAAAACTAGGCATGGTTGATCATTCTCAGATAAATCCAAACATCCACATTGCTCGAGCTGGTACTACAATCATTTATGCAAACTCAATTGTACTGGTTGGCTCCGAACTAGGTATTGCACCATCGGCCATGATGCCAGCGCGAAAGCAGAAACATGACACACTGTCGCGATGTACCCTTTGGCCTGCCGGCTCAATTTTCAACCCTGGCAGGTCCTACCTCCACTCTAAGGCTCGCAGATGAGTCATGTGCTTAAATTCTGGTTACACAGCGAGTTCCTCATACGCACGTCACTATCGACACAAACACCAACGCAGCAATCGTAATCTGTGTTGCAAGGTTGATTGTCGCTCACACACGCACTGACAAACATAGATGCTGTCAAACTAACAATAACGGCGAGGAGGGGGAAACACATTTTCTGTGCGAGCTGATGCAGCATTTTCTGAGGAGGATCTCGGATGATATCTCTGAAGATGGGGGAGCACTATAGGATGACGACCAGCTTTTATATCCTGCATATACGTACAGCTGGCACGATTCTGATCAATTTGGCAGAATTGTCATTGCTGTCAGATAGCACACATTTCAGCAGATGCCGAAGCGTATTCATTTGATTGTGACTATTGAATCAGAATCTGCCTGCAGGCATCGATATATCTTCCGCGCTCCTTTGATTTGTGCCGAAGGCACAACGGGCGTGAGCTCGTTGGTTCTAACTAGATGGAGGGTTTTCCTGATGTAACTAGCCTGAGGTCCATCGTCAACTACAGGAATGCTACGTCTGAAGATCGTTACAAAAGTATGAAGTGTATCACAAGTATCGTAATCAGGAACTACAAGTGCGGTACCAAACCAATCCACGACACCGCCTGGTATGCGTCACCAGGAAGATGACGTAAAGTGGTGAACATGAGTACCAACAGAATGGCACGAGCTGTAACGTACAATATGATACATAAAAGTCCAATCGGGATATTTAGCTGACGCAGAAGACCTGGAGACGCTGCACCGAATGTGAAAGCCACACAAAAGAAAAGCCAGGGTGTGCCAGTTATACCGAGAGCACATATGTGCCATAGGAGCTGTTCCTGATGTGTGACGAAGGTAAAAAACCAAGCCAGACAATGGATGCCGCCAAATATGGTCGCCATACTCAATGTAGCAAGTCGAACAACCATCGTGTCCAAACGTCCGAGTCCGATGCTACCATCAAATGTTGGAACTCGGAGCATTAGGGATATGGGTATGCCAATGTAGCCTATCAGCATCAGGAAAACCACCGGTTCCTTTTCTCACTTAATTTCTCACTTAATTACGTGAAAAGGACCATTAAGTCATTTGAGTGAAAAAGCGTGTGCCACTTAATTAAGCGCACTCCATCTCTGAATTTTCGCTTATTTCACACTTAATTTACTTAAAAAAGCAAATAAAGCAACCTGAAATTGGGCATACATGACAACGACGTAAAATTAAGGAGACCAAAAAGTAAAGTTAAGGAAACCGAAAAGCAAAATTAAGGAGACTGAAAAGTAAGAACCGGCTGGGAGATACAGGAAAAAAGGGGGCATATGATCAAGCAGTGACAGCGGCAGCAAAAATGATAGAAAATAGCCTATGATTGCAGGAGGACTCAGAGTTCAGCATAGGACAGCGATATTCGTGCGAAGAAAAATCCTGTAGTCATGAATGTCAGTGGGATGAAACCTGAATGATAATCACTTACAAAGCATGGCACGCTCATCATCCTCAGACTCCTCATCATCAAGCGAGCCATGTGGTGTGTCCATCACATCGTTTAAGGCAGCACAAGTACGTGCCATCTCTACCGTGGTCTCTACATACCCAGCAGGCTTGCTTGCGATAGACTTAATGAATGAGGTAGTGACTTTAGTCCAGCGAGCCCCTGAAAATAAGAACGGGGCATTGGTCATCTTCCCAGTAGTTTTGTTGAGGACTTTTGGTAGCTTGAAGGCAAGTTTACCTCACGACCCAGACACCAAGACTTGCTTGACTTCCAAATCCTTATCCGCAAACAATTTGAAGGCACGCTCAATCTAAAAAAATAAGTGCAAATCAAACAGTCTAAAAAATGAAACTTACTGCTGCAGCAGAAAGGGCAATAACACCCAACATCCCATGTGTCGCGAGTGCATGCGTATTGAGTCTGGGAACCTCCACATACCCATTGATGGCATTGAGATGCGCTGTGCCTAACAACTGCAAAACAAAGGGAGAACGATATGTTGTGAGGGGACTTGGCATTTCAGGGTCCTCAAACAAGAATGCATAACCTGCAATCAACGATTTGGCGAGTTGAACTGGATCGCAATCGGAGTTTTGTGTCAAGAAGTCCAGGATAATGACTATGCCTGTTGAGCCGAAATTGCTGCGCCATTTGGATATATGCTGTGCAGTCTAATTACAACTATAGTTAGTCAAACTCGACAGAAAATAATGGACTTACCAGGGAATGTATCACACCACCGTGAACAATGGTAATGTCGAGGTCCTTGTATACCGCGTTAAAAATCAGCTGGGCATGAAGGAGAAGGACTTCATCTGGGATATTCCAGATATCGTCGTAACTCCCAGCCCACAACATGACAGTGGAAAGATATTTCTTTGTCCAGCATTGGTCCACCTGCATCGTGGCAGGTAAGTCAACATTGCGATAGGAGCTACAAGGTTTCATGTGGTCTGGCGTAGTATCCACGTTCAGCTGGTGTATGATGGCAGGAGCACCATGGGCACGTGCGGCGGATGGCTTGACTTTGACCTTTTTCTGAGGAGGCAGCTTGCTGTCAGTGACAGAAGCCACAACAGATACAGATGTCTGTACGAGTGTCAGAATGAATGCTAGTAAGTTCAGTGTCCTTACCGAAGATGTTGTACACTGAACCTTCTTCTTCACTACCGCAGGTTCAGGCTCAGAAGCGTCCTCAGAATTTTCAATCGCATCTTCAAGATCTGGGCCTTCAATGTCCATGGACCAGTCGGACACCACAGACTCCTCGTTGTCATCTATGAACTCATCCACACAAGCTTTCCGCTTGAGAGGGTTGTCCACCTGTGTAAATGGAGCCTTAGGCTCAAGTGAGTACTGTTCACGTTCTGTGGGCGAAGTTGCAAGATCATCATCTGACTCATGCGCTACTGGAGCTATAGGCTCGTTGAAGTCCGAGTTGTCATCAAATATGGAGGCAACCTGTGAAGCAAATTAGCGGATACTGACACTAATAAACAATAATGGCCGATTACCTTGGATTTCCCTTTGCCTTGTGCGATAGTAGCCTCATGCTCCAATGTATCGTTGATGTCATCTTCAAAGCTTCTGATAAGGATTTCTGCATTTGGAATTCGAGTGTTAGCCACAGGCTTCTGAATCGAGATCTGTAGATCAGAAGTCGCCGTAGTGGAGGCAGTGCCTTGTGAGAAAATTGTTGTTGGAGGCACTAGAGTTGAACTGGTGCCAGTGGGTGGTGCCTGCAACCTTGGCTCTGATTTTTCGGACGCGATACTTGAAGCCCATTTGGCTATACGCCCACCTAAAGCGATTTTCTGGGTGCTCGCATTGATACTGGAAGTAAGATTTAGGAAATACAACATTGATTCAGTGAGGAGCAACATCATGGATGGTGAGAGAAGGAAGCCTTACAGTGTTGGTGTTATGCACTCAAATAGATCTGTTATGCGGAGCCCTAAGAGGGGCATCGTCCACTAACATTCGTGATGTAACCGGAAGGATCCGGTATAGCAAGTGAGACTGGCGACGACGAGTCGGCAGTGATCACAGTATGCGCATGTCATGTGACTTCTAAGACGGATGTCTTTGAAGTCGCTCAAGGTTAGGATGGTCTTGTCCGAACGATGAGGTTGATTGAGATAGACTTAGTCGCGATGAGCAACTAAGAAAAGATACTAGAGACTGAAGCCAAAGGGGCGTTCAGAGGGAAGTATGTTCCAGGGAAGATTGAGTAGATTCAAGTTAAAGAATCTAGTACAGAGTGACCGACTACTTATACTAAGTGGAGAGGGTTAAGGGCAAGGCTACCGCACTGTAGGTAAAGGGTAAAGGGGAAACGGGAATGGTATAGGTGCGTTGGCAACAGAGCCAGATTAGGGGTGAATGGTTGATTGTGGAATGAGACTGAGAAACGTTGGAACGGACCAACGGTAAGAATACAACGTGCGGGAATCCGCAGTCAGAAGGGAACAGGAAGGGAAAGCCACATTGGTGGCATGAGTCAGACCGAGTCCAAGGTGCGGGACCACATTGGTGGTTGAGTCATAGGGAGGAACATGCGTGCACGTGTAAGGCGGCGGATGATGCAAGGGACGGGAATGGTACTGAGGATCCAGTCAACGGTAAGTCAGTAAAGGAGGGTGAGCCGGTAGATGGTGAGGGCAAGGATGAAGGGAAAATGATAGGGGGGCCACGTGACCGATGTTACTTGTAACATTACCCCCATTTCAAGGCTGAGCTCAATGAGCTCAATCATCTTGGTTATCATACCAGCCAGGGTCAAAATCGAGGTCGGCAAGCCATTCGGCAGCCTCGAGTGCATTCTCCTCGCGTTCTTGTTCGACGCGGGCGGCTTCCTGATCATACGCTGCTTCGAGCTGGCGCATATTGGAATAGAATCTGTCCGAGGAAGGTCCTCGGCGCAGGAGTCTTCGTCCATCGAGTCGTGGACAGAAGGGGGTGAGATGTTTTGGGGCGAATTGCCCACAGATGCGACAGAAGTACTGGGCACAGTGCTTCTGTTTGTGTCCGTATACACGGCACTGGCGGCAGACCACGTTGGAGCGGTAGGTCTGGGTGGTTTCCGTGGCATCAATGCGCGCACGGTTGAGGGCATCACCAGCAGCCTCTTCATGAGTGTAATGCCTAGTGAAGTTCTGGGTACGAGGGCGGTGTGCATGAGAGAGGGGGAGTCCGAGGGACAGCACAGATTGTGCGCGGGCACGGCGTCCTCGGCGACGGGGGGCAGGGGGAGAGTTCGGATTCTCAATGGGGGAACCGATGGACAGAGGAGGTACCTCCCGAGTAGGTACAAAGTCGCTGGGAGTGATGGTGGGGGCAGGGTGAGATTCGTCTGCCTCCAGGATGGTGACAGGAGACTCGTGTGGTTCGAAGAAGACAATGGTATTGGCTTCAGGGGTGGGGTTTCGTGGCGCATAGCGTTCACACTCGTATTCGTTGTAGAGACGGTCAATCTCTGGATTAGTCAGCTGCGTGATGTTGGGGATGTGTTTGTCGTCGGATTCGACAGTTGGTTGCGGCATGAAGGGAGTCGGAGCTCTGTCAATGACAGCACGCTCGATGACGGTGACAGGGTCGGGAGGGGGATTAAATGCCCGCTCCTCCTCGACTGCCAAAATGACAGACTGGAAGTTCCTAAGTTCAAGTAGGTTCAGTGAGGCCTGCTTGATTTTACCCTGGTTGTAGCGGGTGGAGATAGTAGAGATGGTGGTATCCCTCTGAAGGTCGATCCTGGCGATGTCGCCAGTGAGGGCATCCGCACTTCTGAAGGCGTTGATGATGTTGTAGGTGACGTCATCGTCGGTGCATTCGAGGTAACTGTCGATGCGGAGGGCGTACTGAGGATCGCAGATCACTGCTTCCCAGTAGGCACACATTCTGTCTTCCTGGACGGAACGCAGGGAGGGTTGTCAGTATGGGGTGAAGGTGGGCCTTTCAAGGCCAGGCAGTTGTCGGGGCGTCTGGGTCAGGCCATATACAGATGCAGGAGAGGAAGCGGAGAGGGGAGAGGAAAGCGACAATGCTGAAGCCGACATATTTGAGGGGCTTTCCTTGGGTATTGGCATAGGTAAATTCTTGGGTGACGGGGCGGTGCTTGTCGAGGGGTTTAGTGGAACAATGTCGGTTATGGATCTGTTGTCGATGGAAGTATTCAGGGGTCTGAGGCAAGGGTTTGTCGCGGGGGGAGGTGGAATAATGGGCCTTGGTGTGGAACCGCTTGGTCCTATGGTTGCGGTGTCGTTCTTGTAGAGGGGCTATGGTGGTAACAGATCAACAGTTGATGGCGATTGAAGCGATCTTGAGTCGCTTTTTATACGCCTTTAGCAGCTCCGCTGCGGACTTCAACTCCTTTTCAGGGAGCCACGTTTGTTTGGAGGGTGGGTAGCCTACCCATGACACGAGGTATCGGTGGCGCGCACCGGTACCCTTGTGCTGGAGGATAGCTTCCACTTCGAAGTGTTCTTCCCCATCGATCAGGTCAGGGGGAGGTTCAGTGAAATTCAGGCCATGCACGTCCATCTCCTGATAGGAGGAAAGTTCCGAGGCGTGGAACATGGGGTGGATATGCCAGCTGTCAGGCAGCTTGAGCTGGAACGTGATGGGGGAGAGGACCTTCTGGATTGGGAAGGGTCTGTATCGTTTCGGGGCGAGTTTCCGAGAAGGGAACCCGGTGATCAGGTTTATGGCAGATAGCCAAACTCTATCACCAATGTTCCATGGCTTGTAACGCTGGCCAAAGGAACGATCAGCCATGCGCTGTTGTGCAAGGCTGTGACAAGCGAGGGCTTCCTCGCGGATCTTGGTGAGGGACTTGACACGTTCCTCAGCGGTTGGTAGGGTAGAGTCGGGGAAGAGATGGGGGATGCCTCGTGGCTCATATCCCATCATCAGGAAGAAAGGGGAGGCGTTCCTGGCAGTGTCTTTGGGAGTTGTGGACAAACTCAGCCATGGGCAAGTGCTTTGCCCATTCGGAGGGGGTTGTCCGGCAGTAGATCCGGAGGTAGGTTTCTAGCTCTTGGTTGAGCCGTTCAGTCTGGCCATCCATCTGAGGGTGATAGGCAGTGGAAAGTGCGACTTGGTAGTTGAGGAGTCGTCCTAGCTCTCTTGCTAGCTTCGAGGCAAACTGGGGGCCTCGGTCCGAGATGATTTTGTCGTAGAGTCCAAAGCGCATGAACACTTTCTTGAAGAAAAGTTCAGCTACACCTTCCGCAGTGATAGTTTTTCTGCAAGGGCAGAGAATTACCCCCTTTGTAAGCCCATGGTCTACCATGACCATGACAGAATCGTAGCCGGCGCTCTCCGGGAGGTCAGTAATCAGGTCGACAGAGACCTGAGAGAAGGGGCGGAGGGAATTCGAGGGTATGGGGGTCAGGGGAGGGGTCGTCGGGTGGGTGTTAACCTTCATTTGCTGGCACATAGCGCAGCCGTCCATGTATTTTGAGGACGTCAGGGAACTGGAAATTGCGGCTCCGCCCGGCCGTCCGGGTTCATCCGGATCTGTGCGACATCATATCACAACTTGATAAGGTATGCTATCTACCTTCAACCTGTACCATCACCATCTTACCGCTGCACCTACTGCGCGTGCCTGCGTGCCCGCCCGCCCGTCATAGGTATGTTTCATTCACCACACTATCAAACATGTGAGTATTTGATTATATCTCCGAATCTCGGCGCTCACTAGTATTTTGTAGTATGTCCAGCGCTGTTTCTCATTGCGCAGATTTTTTCTGCACTCCTACGCATAGATTACACATGTAAGTGTACTTTCTGTGCATTCTGGATTGACTCTCACCCTTGTCAAGACTACTGTGGTTCCTCTTCAAGCATGAACCCGCCCATGTCAGAAGCTGCCAGTGCATTATCCTGGCAGGCCACACTCGCTGCCCGCCTTGCACAACCAAAACCAACATTCATTTATTCCTGCGACAACTGTCACGAAGAAGTCCCATGGACGCGCTGCAAATCTAATGAACGTGGAAATGAGGGTCACTGGATGGCAATGGTGAGTTGTCTTTTAAGCCAGTCAGATCTTATTCTCATTTACTGTTCAAATGTAGTGCAACAAATTCTCTAGCAATACGCAGGCCAAATGTAATTTCTTCCGTTGGGCACGAGGCCCTTCTGGTTCACCCACGCTACCCTCGGGTAACTTTGCACCTCCTGTGATACAACTCGACCCTGTTCCTCAGCCTACATCATTAGGTGCTGCAGCCATACTGCTGATCTGTGTGGCTCTTATCTGCAAGAAACGTGCTCATTCCCTTTGTGAGAATAACACTTGTCGCACTCATTGTGGCCTTCTAGGCGGCTGTTCAGTAAAGGGCCATACTGCAGCTGCGCAACTGGACCCAACTCTGGAGCTTCGCACTCGTCCATCTTCAGAACCTGCTGCATTACTGCCACCCTTACCTGCTGTTGTCACTAAGCCTGTCCTTGCCCTCACTCAGGGCGATGTCGAGCCTGGTCTTGATCAACCTCTGCGGGTCGACAAAGGCAAGGGCCGGGCTCTCGAGTCTCATGATTCCAACATCGACCCTGCCCTTCTCTTTCTCCCTAACCCCAATCCTGCTGGTCCTTCCCGCACTATCGTTAGCTCATCACAACCTAAATGGGCCGCCCCTCGATATGCCACACAGATGCCTGCAATATTCACTCAGCAAAATGCTCATGAGGAAGAGCTGCAGGAAGATAGATGCCAGCAAGATCTCGAACGTGTTCAAGCTGCTCAGCGGGAGAAGAACACTGTTGTGGTCTATGCTTGGAGTGAGGTAAGATCTTGTTTACTGTGTCCTATGACTCGTACTAATGTTGTCTTGCTAGGATGGCATTGAGCCTGTCATATACGAGTTCCAGGATGGTTTCAAGTTACCAAACTTTTCGTTCAGCCTCGACATACTTCGTAAACTTGGCATGGTCTCACATAGTGACAACATACTCACTGCCACCATTCTCCCCATTCAACGCTACAACCGTCTTCTGGGCACCTGGACTCGCTTTGATGTTGATCACATGGTGTCACTCCAAGAACGTGACAATGGTGTCCTGCTTGTGAAGGATGCACACGTGAAGGACTGTATAGACCTGGAACGCCATCTGCATCAGCTTGCTCAGCCAGGAAGCCCCAACATGATGATGAGTCTTGCTGAGGAGCGCAAGTATATGCGCGCTGCATCACGCACACATAGCTCACGTGCACCATCCTTGCTACCGACAGATCCTGCCATAGATATTCACCAAGTCCCCACCATGAATCATGGCTCTCATGCACCATCATTACCCTCCGCTGCTGCTCATCGAGTCCCCACCATCAATCGTGCTTTAAAAACTGGTGGTTGTGTACCTCGCGTCCCTTTCCATCCTCATAATGGAGGCTCTGTGTTATCTCTTACTGATGATGACAATGACAACGAGCCAAATCTCACTTCAAAGCGCCGGTATTCCTCTGCATTGTCCCTCACAGACAGTGATGACGGCAATGTGACCAACACTGTCCGTCCGGTGAAGCGTCAGTTAAAGCAGCATCGTCGTTCACACTCCGAGTCATCAAGCTCATCGTCTCATTCTCCCTCATCTATCATCTCAGTGCCAATTGTGAAGAGGGAGAGTGCTGGAAGCCTGCTTTCACATGGAACCTCACAAGCTAATGCTATCGAGGTTGAGAAAGTCTCGATATGGCCAACAGACTTTTACATTGTTGACATTGCTGATGGATTCGCGATGTGCAGGATGGCTGCCATGGGTCGACGAAGCATGGCAGATGTATTCGCTGGTCACTTTGGTGTCCCTTTCAAAGCCTCAACCTTCTATGACAATCAAAAGGTTTGGCAGTTCAGTGCTAACCATGGGCTCTGTGAGCGCTTCATTGAGTATGGTCGCACGGAGAAAGGGTCTTGGTCCGCATTCATGAAGAAGGCAAGGCGGCCTCCGAAGTAAGGTCTGACTTCTTTTTTATACATTTTCCTCGATTTGCGTCTCTTCATAACTAGTCATACTGTACCATCCATTTTACTCTTGTAGATGTACCCCACCACCGGATCAAGTACTTACCTTGGTCCAGTTCAAATTTTGAGGCAGTTCAATGTACATTAGTTTGTCATTGCTGGTCCAGTTCGCGTTCAAACCATGAGACTTGAGCATCGCACACGCCAATACAGAGGCCTAGATTCTTTTGTCTGTTTCGGCAAAGCTGAAAGTCATCAGAAGGATATAGAGAAATGTCTTCATCTTGATCATAGAGAAACGCATCCCGATGCATGACTGAAGGTCTAAATGAGCGATATATATTGACAAAGACTTGAGAAAGCTTACTCTCGGCCCAGCGGAGAAAGTCAGAAGATTGGAATACAGTCCTGGAAGTGACAGCACATCCTCTGAAAGATGATCCCATCGATCAGGGCTGTAAATTCATTTTGTGAGGTGGTTCAATTAAGCAGGCGTAAAAAGCTTACTCAAAATCCCAGGCGTTAGGTCCCCACATACCCTTGTCGAGGTTGAAAGCCTCTACTGGGACATGCACGAAGCTCCCCTTCGACACGCTTATAGACTTTTGCTCCGAGATCGTGCCATCGCTCAAGTGGACGGGGTATGATACAGGTATCTCGTCATCTTGCGTTGCAGCATGGAGGGAAGAATGGACTGGAGGGACCAGACACAAGGACTCCCGGCAGACGTTGTTCAAGTACAGTAGGTTCTGAAGGGTGTTGTGTAGAGACTCAATTTCTTCAGATGACAACCGGGATATTGGAGTAGTTGGCATCATCAAGGATCAGCTGGTATACAAAGACTGCCAAACATACTATTGTGTCCCTCATGTATGCGTTGTTCAATGACGGCGCGCATAGGTGCGATGCCTGTCCCTGGACCCACACACACCACTGGTGTGTTTGGATCCGTAGGAAGTGAAATGAAGCCCTTTCTGAGACCGATACGAAGGGTATCTCCTGGAGATGATATGAGTGCAGGGACTACGCTAGAACACCATGCGGACCTAATTTGAGCCCTGATAGATAACTAGTACAGACGCCTTTCCGATGAATTTTCAACTTCGTGCGATAACACACTATAGCAACACAGAGATGAATTTCACGGGGATGGAGCTGACAAAACTCAGAGGTGAATTGGACTGCAGTAAACACATTCTAACTCAAACTCGCCTCGATGGAACTAGCAATTGAGAACTCTCTTGGTCTCAGCGGAGGGAACAAGTCAAAGACATGCTCTCTCGGTATCCTTGCGGACCGGAACTCGGACAATACTTCCCAGGTCGTACGTTTCATGCGTTGACAATAATCATACATTTCGTCCAGCACGTCTTCAATAAAAGAAAGAAAACCGAGGATACCTGACGTACCGCTCCTTCTATCGATACAAATTCATCAAGTTTTTCGCATTCGAGCTCATCGGTAGCGAAATATCGCAGCAGTTGGAAAAAAGAGCAACGAGGCACAGCATTAAAATCAAGATAGCGTGTAAATAGAATTCGAAGGGAAACAATTTTTGGTAGATGGTCGGGCAACGTTTGATCTGTAAGATGTCAGATGAGGTTTACTGGGTCCTGTGTTGTCGTACCTAACATTTTATGTTCTACTGTGAAGAAATCGTCGGCAACATTCGTCCAGCCCATGGTGACAAGGAAAGAGTTGACTTCTGATGCAGCTGCAGATGGATGGATCACAGCAACATCTCCAGGATTATATCTGAGGTTTCCCATCAGTAGCCGCAAATCCCAAAGGCAAAGACTCGTACTTTATATCGTCTTTGAAGGAGAACTCGAAATGGTGCTTGGCGCTCTATTCAGATGGCCTCGGCGCGGCCCAACCCCCTTGCAAGCGCAAGTGCAGTCCGCTAGCTCCACCCTGTTATGCTTTTCGCCCCCCGGCACACCAAAGGGAGTTACATGGCAAGGTGGGCAGAGCTCTGGGGGCACATGAGCGCAGTGCGCTAGCTCTGCCTTGTTATGCTTTTCGCCCCCCGGCACACCAAAGGGAGTTACACGGCAAAGTGGGCAGAGCTCTGAGGTGCGGCGCAGCAGCCAAAAGTGCACAATTGATACTAAGAGCGCGTGGATTTAAGAATATGAATAGCGGTGGATGAAAACTTAGGACATGTGACTCTTTCTTTACTTTTTTGAAGTGTTACTTTTTTCATCCGCACTTATGTATCGAATACTCTATACTTGCTCTATACACAGACTTGGAACAACATTGATATGAACACCGTCTACAAATCGCCAGGTCTCATTGTCATTAGCATTACGATGTTTTGGGGTGTTGCTCTCAAACTCGTACGCTACAAGAAAGAAGATCCTACTGACATTGTAGCTATGTTGCACCACGGCACGAAACTCACTGGTGTCTTTGGAAGTTGGTACGGAAGGTATCTTGGGTGGGCAAGCGTATGTTCCCGACGTGCAGGGCATGTGGAAGGTAGGATGTGACGATGCGAAATGACATCATTTCTGACGTTCGCTACAGGTTCTTACAGATAACGTCAACCTCATGGCTATGAATTTGACCAACCAGGTGCGGTCGATCGCAGAAGTGACAAAGGCTGTTGCTGGTAGTGACTTGACGAAGAAGATTGAGGTCGACATGCGTGGCGAGATCAAGGAGTTGAAGGAGACTGTCAACAGCATGACCGAGAGCTTGAGTCTCTTCGCCGATGAAGTCACTCATGTCGCAAGAGAAGTCGGCACGGAAGGACGATTGGGAGGCCAGGCTCATGTAACTAACGTCGGTGGTACATGGAAGGTGAGTACGTTGCACAGACTTGTGAATCAATACTTATCTCAAGTAGGACTTGACGGACAACGTGAACATCATGGCTGCTAATGTGGGTCCATTCCATCTTTTATGCTCCTAACGCTGATTGTTCGGTGTTGTAGTTGACCTTACAAGTCCGAACCATTGCTGTCGCGACCGTGAGTGTTGTTCACCGCGACCCAGTCCTTATGTTGAATTTGTCATCAGACTGCTGTCGCTCGTGGAGACTTAACTCAACAAACCACTGGTGTCTCTGTATCCGGAGAGATGCTAAGCCTAGTCAACACTATCAATGACATGATTGCTCAATTGGCAATCTTCGCCAAGGAAGTCAAGAAAGTCGCATTCAAAGTCGGTACAGAGGGTAAATTGGGTGTCCAGGCTGAGGTGGGCAATGTCCAGGGTATCTGGCAAGAAATCACATAAGTAAGGAACATGATCCACGGAAATGGGTGTTGACATCGCTGTAGGATGTCCGTCAACACTATGGCCGGTAACCTGACCACGCAAGTGCGTGGTTTTGCCCAGATCTCAGCAGCTGCTATGGACGGAGATTTCACTCGCTTCATCACTGTTGAGGCCAGCGGAGAGATGGACTCTTTGAAAACACAGATCAATCAGATGGTATTCAATCTACGTGACAGCATCCAGAAAAATACCGCTGCGAGGGAGGCACAGATGGTTCGACAACGAGAGTGGGTCTATGTCTCAATTTGTCGCAAGTAGCTGATCATCTCATAGGAGTATGGGGGAACCGGTCTAGGCCTCTCCATCTCCAAGTGCCTCGTTAACCTCATGCAAGGCAACATGTGGGTCGAGAGCGAGGTCTCGAAGGGAAGCAAGTTCTTCTTCACGATCACATCGCAGATTTCCCAAAGCACGCTGGAGACCACACTGCAAAAGATGCAACCATTCCACAGGCGTGCTATTTTGTTTGTTGACACCCTCAACGACACCACTGGGGTTGTCCAAAGGATCCAGGAGCTCGGGCTGAGGCCATATGTTATTCACGATGTCAGTGTATATGGCGTTTCGCGCGACCTCATCATATCTCAAGATAGTGCTGCAATGTATGAATGTTGGATGTGATTCAAGCGAGTTGTCGGTATTACATATGCAGCACTGAGCATATTTTCAAAGAAGGTATCCACAACCGAATATGGGGTAGTGTATATGATTCCGAGCATGCTCAGGCAGTCTAGAGTCGTTCTGTGTGACCCGAGAGCTATTGCACATTTCTACGCTCGCGAGACTCGGACATATGTGCAGACCCCCCTTTCGTTGGCGCTTCTGGAGTCATCAGTATGTTGAAACCATCATCTTACCTTGTCTTTCTTATATCTCTTGTCAGATTGGTAAAGGGTTGCTATGGTCTCATGGAGAAACCCACAGGAGGTGCTGTTCAGCTCTTGTCCTTGCGCAAGTGACTAATTGACTTCCTGTGAATTAGGCAGCGGAAGGCCCTCGCGCCAGCATTCAGTAATGCGGTGATCCGGAAACTCACATCGGTGTTTTATGACTCAGCATACAAGGTGAGGATTTGCGGTGCGAGAAATGTTTCATTTCTGAACTTGATATTATACGTTACAGGCCAAAGGACAATGGGATAATGTTATAGAATTGAGTAAAGATGACGATGCGGTCATTGAGGTCCAGAACTGGTGCATAGCTTTTCTGACTTGCAAGTGCCATTCCTAATCGAAACGATTCAAAGGATGAATCATATATCATACGCGAAGATATTTTGTCGTTGACGCCTTGAACTGACAGAACATCAGTTTGGAGTCTTGGACATGGTTGGAATTGCTGGTTTCTCCCATGATTTTGGCTCTCTCGATGGAAAGCCCGCCAGCGTGACCGAAGTGTTTGATACATTCGGAAGCAACCAAAAGGCTTCAGCATCCTTCGTACTGGGTTCGATACGCCAATTACATACGTGTACTTCATGGTTACTCTACTATGTATGACTATGGCGTGGCCATGTGCGAGGGTCCTGCCCATCCTGTCTCAACTTTTCTTCTGTCCAACGGTTCCTTCTCAAGATCAGCTCATCGCAAAAGAAGTTGAACTTGTGGGCCATCATCTCACAACAGATGGGATGGTAGTCCCCAAACCAATTGTTTGTTTGCTCGGCGATAGAGGAGTTGAAGCGCCAACCATTTCCATCATCAGCGATGAGCTCGGGAAAGGCTCTGGGATTGCAATTTTCCTGACAGAAGGTGTCCGTTTCTGAATGCTTGCATTGGAAGTGAAAAACATCGACCGACAGACCAATGTTATTGAAAAATGGTTCGTCTTTCACCATTTTGGCTAGCGTGCAGTTGTTGTCGAAGAAAATATGGTTGGGCTTGCTGAATGAGTCCTCACTAGCATAGACCTCCTTGATGAATTGCTATACCAGAGATCAATTATAAGTCAGCATGGAGCTGATATGAACACGTACGACAACACTTGCAACTCCCTCTGCCCCAAAAATGTTCGACGAGCAATGATCATCCCACAGGGAGCGACAATCAGCTGCTCATTGTGGGTGCGACGACGACCGAAGGTTGCTTTGAGTTTTTTTGTTTAGGCTGTGCTGTAGGATCTCCCTGTGTTGGTTTCGAGGCTGGAAGTACTCGCCCGCTTTCGTCAAGTTCATACTCTTCTTGTACATCAGGTTGAGACTCTGCATCTAGTTGGTTTGCATCCCTCTTCTCTGCAATGGCAGCTCGGGCACGGGCAAGTCGTTCTTGAAGCTGAAATCGAGACTGTCTGCGCAAAACATGTGTCTCCTCGACTCGTTGATGTTCTGGAGTTGAACATGTGCGATGACCTCCAGCGATGGGCAGTGTACATCCGATAATAGCACACTCATTGTTTTGGCTGGTATGAGTAGGACAAAACCAATGATGATTGTTGGAAAGTGGAATATGGCAATTATAAACAGCACAACATGGATGTCCGACGGTAACACCATCTGACAACAATAACAGAGACCTTATGGACTAGTTTGAATAGTTCAATGATACTATGATATCGCACCTCAAGCTGACAGTACTTACAATTGCCCTCAAGATCAGTGTATATCCGAGTGCATTTGCCGCAGTGGTGGCAATGCACATCATCATAGCCATAGAGCTGTGTGCGACGATTTCTTCGCGATCATTGCAGCAGTGAAGCGATCACGTTGTTCACCAGTGTGAGGGATGGTCAAAGAGCTTTTTCGATTTTTGCAGTCTTCAAGGAGCGAAGAGATGACATAGCCGTCCCATACATGGTCTACATAGACTTCGAACTTCACTCCATATGATGCTGGTGCTTGCTTGCCATGCGAAAGACAAATATTATAGAGCCGTGCGCAGTTGGTAGCTGATGTCCTGCAGGATCATATATTAGGTCCAGGATCACCGTGACACTACAAGTTGAGGATAACTTACCATGCAAGGTCCATCGCAGTCTTAAAGAGCTCGATGACCTCCTTTGCCATGTAGACATGTTCAGCAACTTGTATGTTAGCAGGTTGGTTCTCATAGTACGTTCGCTCCCCTTCAGATACACTGTAATTGTAGTGATAATCGATCTTACATGCTGGGAGTGTACAGTGAGCAAAATCCTAACAACAAGCGACCACTAACATTCACAGTAAAGATAAACTGATTTCGCAGTGCAGGGGCCACTAGCAAGAGTAAAGAGGATGACATAGTGCTGCTTCGCCTTGTTAAGCATCATCCCTTTGGCACGACACGAGCAATTTGGTTGAAGGCAGTAGCTGCTTGGGGGGTAGAGGAGATGCTCGGCTTCAGGTACAGGTTCATTAGGAATGAGTAATAGAAGGGGCAAATATCGATGCAGTACTTACCTACTCCCCTGTGTATCCCCTCTGTCTTCCATAATTCTCACATATCCATTTTGATCCCACCAGTCCAGATGATGTCCTTGAGCAGGGTCCATGCATCACTCACTTGAGCAGGGGATATAGCACACCCTGCACCAAGGAACCTAGCGATTGCAGGTGGGAGAACACTTGGAGGGTCATTGATTGGTGCTGAGGATGGTTCTGCAAGGATAATGTCGTTCTTAAGTGTGGTTCCAATTGTGATGAAACGGAAAAGAGAACTGAGTGAGTTACTGGTGATTGCATCAGGACTATATTCAAGCTGTTGGATAAGAAGTTGGAATGAGCTCATTGTGCTAGTATTGTTGATTGTATGCTACAACGGACAAGGACAACAACGGTGAAGGAAACAGCCGGATAGACCCGGACGGACCCAGACGGACCCAGACGGACCCAGGCAGACCCAGGCGGACGGTGCCGGAGTTTCCAGATCCCTGACTTTCTGCGTATTTTCGGATAAAGGAGCCCATACCAGGCCACCAGTAAGCTTTCTTGATGTTCCATTCAGTGACAGAACGGCCGGGGTGACCTGCAGTAGGATGATCGTGGTGCAGCGCGAGCACACAATGCTGGAGGTCGGGAGGGACGTAAGCACGGTCTTTGTAGAAGAGAACACCATCAGTGAACCTCCAATCAGAGAGTGCAGATTTCATGGGGGGTGCGCACACCCCGGAGAGAGCATCCAGAGCTGTTTTCACAGTCTGGTTGGAGGGGTCGTCTGAGAGCCGCTGGAATTCGTCAGCGAGCTCGGTATCGATAAGACGGGTAAAGAGGGCGTCCGGAAGGAGGACACAGTCTTCGTTATCATGGCCAGACTGGTCATGGTCCAGCCGACGGGACAAGGCGTCTGGTGCAGCGAGTTTCATACCGGGAACATGATGCAGTTCCAGGTCGAAATTGGTGAGCGTGAGGTGCCACCGGGCCTGTTGTCGGGTGAGGCGTTGAGCAGAGCGGAAGTAGATCAGATTCTTGTGATCTGTGAACACAATGACCGGGTGGGCGTTCCCTTCCAAGAAGTGTCGCCAAGCTTGGAGGGCACGAATGATGGCGAGGAGTTCCCAATCATAGATCTCGTAGTTGCGTTCTGCTGCGTTCAAAGACTGGAAAAGGTAGCCACAGGGGTGGTAATCCCCATTGCTATCCGTCTGGAGCAGTACTGCTCCGGTTGCAAAGAGGGATGCATCAGTTGCAAGCGCAAACTGATGCAAAGAGTCGGGGTTCCGCAGAACCGGTTCCGTGGTGAAGAGCGTCTTCAGATGCTGGAAGGACACTTCGGTTGAGTCTGACCATGCGAAGGGGACTTCCTTCTTGGTGAGGTCCAGAAGAGGTCGTGCGATGTCAGAGTAGTGGGGGATGAAGTGCCGGTAGAAGTTGCAGAACCCGAGGAAGGATCGTACATCCTTGACAGACGAGGGTTGCTGCCATTCGCTGATACCTTTCAGCTTGGCGGGGTCCATGGCGACCTGTCCTGGTCGGATGATCATACTGAGATATTCGACTTCCTGGGAGTCGAAGGTGCATTTCTCGGGTTTGAGGAAGAGAGACTCCTTGCGGAGTTTTTCCAATACACGACAGGTCCGTTGTCGGTGTTCATCCAGATTATCTGAAAAGATTAGGATGTCGTCCATATAGACGATTAGCCATCCTTTGTTTAGTTCTTCTGCAAAAGTCTGGTTCATGTAAGCTTGGAAAGTTGTGGGAGAATTGTACAGTCCAAAGAACATTACCTTGGGCTCGAAGAGCCCATATGAGGTGGAGAACACAGCTTTCCACCTGTCGTCGGGGTGTATCAGGATGTTGTTGTATCCTGAGCGTACGTCGACCTTTGTGAACCACTGAGCCTTGTTGAGTTTCGCAAGCAAGGGTGGGATCAAAGGGAGTGGGTACGCTGTCTTCTTAGATAGATGATCTATAGATAAACACCTACAAAATCAAAAATCTCCACGGTCAGTGATTCAGACAAATACCAATGACTGATAACGTGGTTGTTCGTGGGTGGCTGTTTACACTTCCCCAAGCTATGTTCAGACAAAAGTACTTCCTGTGAGGTCAGTAGCAATACCAGTCAATCCAACAGTATGGACGCAATAGAAAATAAAATAAACAGAATGTAGTTAGCCCAACGGTCTGGTGATGACAAAAAGAAATTGATTCACTCCAACGGTATGGCAGTGTTTAGAGAACAGAGAAAAGTCAGCCCAACAGTATGGTACTGATAAAAAAAAGAAATAGATTGATAAGAGAAACCCTTCCTTCAGTAACAATGCTTTTTGTAATAAATTTACTACAGAAAGTCGTGCGAAATTATAGCAATCACCCCCTCAGCACAAACAGGTAGAATCAAAGGTCAGGACTAATCAGTGATCAGTAGAACTCTTAGTTCACTATTGAACCTGCTGCCAAGGAACTCACGATGAGTATTAAACAGAATCAGGAACGGACGTCCTTGGATTTCAGTACCAAGTCCCCTATTCAACAACTAAAGTCTAGCAGACAAAGAAAACCCTGGCTCAGTATCACTACTCCGATGAGTGAGGTCAAGCGTCACTATCAACTTCTGAAGTCTTCCCACTAAGCCGGTGCTTAGATGGACGTAAAGACAACACAAAGATCTTGAAACAAATTCAGACAATAACACTGAGACGTGAATGAACTAAACAGAAAAAGAGACAAATGAAAAGAAACAAACAAACAAAGAAACAGAAAAAGAAAGAGAGAGAGAAGAAAGAAAAGGAAAGAAAAGAAAAGAAAAGAAAAGAAAAGAAAAGAAAGAGACTAGAGGTTCACCAATAGAAAATCAAAGAAAAAGTTTGCTCACTGTTGAGCACAGTGAGCTCAAGATATTTCACAGTTGTTGACGATGAGCTAAAGGTATTGCTGGATGTTGCTTACAATGACCTCTCAGTTAGTTGCTTAACAGCTCTTGTCACTGTTGTTGATACTGATCACACTTCACACTCAAATTTATTTTGTGGGGCTTAAAAGTTCCCTATATACATCCTTTTATTGGCAAAAAGTGGGGTCTTATATAGATAAATTATGGTGGCTGTGTTACTATTTCCCACGTTCTAAGGGGAATAGGCTTAGTCAGATTGTACCAATACTATTTACTGTAGTCATGTGCTTTATCATTTGTGTCATCAAGCTTTAGTCATCTCAAAAGGTTGCTTTGTCATGATTTGGTTTAGGGTCATAGGTCACCTGACTGTTAGAGTCATATAACTTAGTATCGTGTGACAAATATTAAGTAACAGACTGATTATGTTATTTGTTGGTGTCTTGTTATGATGTTGCTTTATTGACCGTAGAAATGACGCGAGCCGTGTATTTAGAGTGTTAAGAAAGTTCCCACAAGGCAACTTATGCAAGAACTATTTTACACTGTTACTTGACATGTGTGGGATTCAGTCTGAGTCATTGTTATTGCTGACTAAGCAGAATTTTACCGCAAAATTAAATATACAAGAATATTCAGCCTATCTGAGTCTGTCTGAGAAATGAAAATACTATCTGAACTGCAGTCTGAACCATAAAGTAAAGGAAGATTGTTCATAATGATTTCTAGGGTATCGGGCTCGTGAGAGACCATTAGTCATCCATGCACCGAACCGGTTTGGTGCAGGTCATCTGGTGGAAACTGAGAAATCAATCGTCCCCGATTGTGAATTTGCAGGGGGTGGGTGTCTAGGAGCTGGCTGGGTTTAGCTCATCTGTGGTATTGGGGAATGGGTATCGTAATGGGTTGGTCATCAGATTGTTACTTGGTAGTGGAGGGAGCTCCTCAAGGATATCTACTTGTTGGGATTCCC